TGAAGAATATTTGCACATGTAGATGGTTAAATCCAGTGTTAGGCTCTATACGGGAGCTCCGTCAGCCAGACAACATCCCCAAGTTACTGCGCTTCCTGTGCCATTCTCAGAGGCTGTGTTACCACTGCCTACCTTGAGCCTCAGGAGTTCATTACAAGGAAGCGTCTTTCCAGACCAGTGGGTTCTGCTGAAGCCTGCCCTGGCTCATCCCATATTGGCCTTTGTTACTGTCTCTGATGTCTCCCTCTTCCTCCCAGGAAGCAGTCACTGGTCCTGAGCTTCTCCCATACACCCAATTGTGACTCCTTGACCCCATCATGGTCCCTGCTCCCCAGCAAGCTAGAGGCATTCCAGGTGAAGAAGGCCTTGATTCTGCAGAAAGCATGACACCGAAGTCCAGAACGCTCAACCGGGCCCTTGACAAGCAGGGAGAGTAGGGCTGAGTAGGAATTACATTCCTGGAGTCACTAGACTTGGGATGGGGGCTCTTCTCCCACCATTAATGTGGAATGGAAGGGAAGAGCAGCCAAGCCCAGGATCGGGTGATTGGGTTAAAAGATGCCTTCTGGCCAGCGAGCCACAGAGCCACACTGAATGGGGAAGGGGCGTCTCCGTGGCCACCTGACTGATGAGGGCAGGAATCATGCTATGGAAGCGATGGAAGTCAAGAAAGCATCCTACACTAAAACCATGTTCTGGAGTAAACATTTTACAAATATTTGAAGGTGTTTTTGATGTCTCAGTGAATGAGGTGGGTGATGTTCTCTCCACTGTACAGGTAGGTGAGGGGAGGCATCCAGGCTGTCGCAGGCCCTGGTCACACTTCTGGCCAGTGTCACAGCCTAGCTTCTGTCCCTCTGTTCTCCAGGTTTGTCCTGTACTGGCCTTGATGTCTTTGCAGCCACAGCTCCTCACTCTAGTGATTTCCTTGAGTTATGGATCTGTCAGCAGTAAGAGGTTTTTAAATTAGAAGCATTTAAGGTTTTTAGCCCAGCTAAATGCTGCTTTAATTATTTCCCCAGCAAAATTGCAAACTCGTAGGGAGAACTAAAACAAGTGTGTATACAAATAGCCATGGTGCATAACGTTGGCAGCACCCTCAGAAAGGCATGTGGAAGGAAAGTGCAGGGCAGCTTTAAAGGGGGAGCCCGCACCTGAGCGGGTGGGTCAGCGAAGCCGGAAGAGTCAAAGATGGATGGTGGGCACAGGGACCAAGGGGACTCGGACTCTCTGAGGCCCTTTTTCGTATGCTTTCTTCCACTTGATTCTTGCCCAAATCATCTTACCCTAAGAGATGGGTCTATATTTAAAACTTGGGGGCTGAGACAAGGAAGATCCTGGGAGAAATTCAGTTGTGCTGGCGTGTGTTAAAACAAAATGCGCATCTGACGGGCAGCTTGTCAGCTCTGGTTCTCTCTTCCCCAGGCTTCCAGTATTAAGTGGTTCAGGTATGGGTTAGGGCTTAGGAGTTTTCTGGGTATTTGTTGTACATGATAAAATAATTAAAACAGCATATAGCTGGGCAAATAACCTTAAATATTTCCATTTTTAAAGCCACCTGTTAGAGATAACTGGTGACTCAATGGATTTGGTTCACAGTCCTTCTACTACTGGAGAGGCAGGAAATGGTTTCTGCTCAGTGAATAAAGGGCAAAGGGCAGAGCAGCCCTTTCCCAGAACATAAAACAGAGGCCTCTGGGCTCTGTGCCCTGTGCCCTCCCTTCTGAAGGGAATCCACGTGGACTGGGAGCCTGATGAGCAGGGCCTTGTAAAGATTCGTGAGCTCTGAGCAGAACACGGGTTCTTGTTCCCCTGTGCCACTGTGTGACAGACAGGACCAATTAAAGAGGGGTGGGCACGAAGACCAAGTAGGTTAGTGGTTGCCAGGATCTCTGACGAGGGGAGAATAGGGCAGAATAGGGTGTGATGGTTGCACAACTTTGTGAATATACTAACAATTATCGAATTGTGTACTCTAAACGAGTATATTTTTACAGTATGTGAGTTATAGCTCAAACTTTTTTTTTTAATGGTAAGGCACAGCCACTAACCTGGCATTTTACACAGAGAAAAGGAAAAGGAAAGATGTCATTTTGTTATTTCCTGTTATACTCACCCCTTCTCTGAGACCCATGGCTGTGTTAGACATCTTCCACCAGACCAGGAAAAGTGTTTGCAAAGGAGCGATGAGAAGGGGCAAAGGCAAGGAGCTCAGCCTCCATTTTCCTTCTCATCCCATGCTGCTGGGAGGAACAAGGCCTCCTAGGAACCTGCGGGCCACAATGCTAGATCTGGAGCTCAAGGAGAACAGCTCCAGGAGAACCTGCTTCCAGATCACGGTGTGCCCCTACTGCCCAATGCATCCAAAGCTATACATGATACTCCACAGGACTTGTGTCCTTTCCTTTTCTTTTCTTTTCTTTTCTTTTTTTTTTTTTTTTGAGATGAAGTCTCCATCACCCAGGTTGGAGTGCAGTGGCGCGATCTCAGCTCACTGCATCTTCTGACTCCTGGGTTGAAGCTATTCTCCTGCCTCAGCCTCTGAGTAGCTGGGACTACAGGCACCCACTAATTTTTGTACTTTTAGTAGAGACAGGGTTTCATCATATTGGCCAGGCTGGACTTGAACTTCTGACCTCAAGTGATCCACCTGCCTCAGTCTCCCCAAGTGCTGGGATTATAGGCATGAGCCACCACACCTGGCCAAACTTTTACCTTGTTTCTTTGGATAACATTTTTAAAGGGCCCTCCTGGAGATATGCTCCAGGAAAAGGGATACAATACATTTACTATTTTAATATTATGTGAGCTTACTTTAGTATGAGACGGGAGAATTCCCTGGCCCCCATCGCAGGGCATGCTACGGAAGTGTAGCTCTTTGCCACTGCAAGCTCAAACTCCTTATGGAATAGGGAGCATGAAGAAGGGCCAGTGCAGGAACTGGGGGCAAGCCTTTTGGGCTGTAGCCCCACAGCACCATCTAGGGGTGCCTGCGACTCCTGAAGCCCCAGTGTCACAGTGCTCTTTTAGGCCGTCCCTGGATGGCTTAAGGGTTAACCAGCTCAGTGCCCCCTTGGTACCTGGGCTTTTGTCCAGTGTCCTGGAAGAATCGGGTCACACATGGACTTGAAGGATGAATGCCGGGGAGTGGGGGGTGGTTATTGAGTGGTGGAGGTGGCTCATGGTGGGATGGATGGGAGCTGGAAGCAGGGGATAGAGTGGAAGATGATCTTCCCCTGGAGTTTGGCTGTCCAGTGGCCAAACTCCTCTCCCACCAGGTACACTCCTCTTAGTGTTCAGACACTCTTTCTCTTCTTTCTCTGCTGGGCTGTTCTGCAATTTGTCTGCTTATCTCTGTCTCCTCATCTGCCTCTGTAGCCTGGGGTTTGGAGTTTATATGGGTATAGGATAGGGGTGTCGTGGGCCGAAAGGCAACCTTTTGGGTGAGACAACAGGAATACCCATCCCCATTTGGGGCCACAGGTATCTGGGCTTGAGGGTGGGACCTCTGCCAGGTAACCGTCCTCTTCAATCCAGTATTTCCCTGTTGTCTGCCCATATCAAGTAGTTGGACAGTCATGTAAATTACTTCCACATGAGGGGTACAGACAGCACATGTGCCAGAAGACGGATGTGGGTGGCACCTCCTGCTGCCTCAGAAGATGAGAGTGGGGGCTGCCTGTACACCTTGGCTAAAGACACAGAGAAAGTGGGGATAGGCTGGACTGACCTTCAGAGGGATGTGGAGTGAAAATTCAGAATCTCCCGACAGTAGGAATTGTGCTGACTCACTACATGACTGTATGAGGATGTTGTTGAAGGAATAACTCCCAAAAATTGAGAGAAGAATCAGTTTCAGGAGAATTAGTATATGTATGAATTGAGACCACCTTAATGAGAAAGGGACAGACCCTGCCTGGAAATAGCAAATTTTCTCCTTGGAAAGACGGCATTTGTTTAAGTAGAGATCATTTCAGAGGCCAAGGGGTAAACATAAGGCTTTCTTAAAGATTCTGCTCCCACACAGACCAAAACGGCACTCACCTACATAGGTAGGGCGGGTTGTAGATGCTCTTAATTATGTGAATTGCTGGACATTTTCTTTACAGTTGGCCTGCATTACTATAATCAGAAGAAAAAAATCACAAGCATAATCTACTTTGGGGAGAAAAATGGTTCCTACTATACTGATTAAAACATAAACCATGTTAATCTCTCCAGGGATTAGGATACGGGCTACTTGTTATTTGTTAATGTACATATTTCTCCATTTAGAAAACTGTTTACAATGATCAGTATTCTATAAGAAAACCAACATTTGAAATCAAGGCTGTGCTCCAGGTAAGGCTCCTGCTTCTGAGGAGTGGAGCACTGCATGCTTGAGCACTGTATTAGTTTGTTCTCATGCTGCTAATAAAGACATAATTGAGACTGGGTAATTTATAAAGAAAAAGAGCTTTAATGGACTCTCCCCACATGGCTGGGGAGGACTCACAATCATGGTGGAAGACAAAGGAAGAACAAAGAAACATCTTACATGGCGGCAGGCAAGAGAGAATGAGAACCAAGCAAAAAGAGACACCTCTTATAAAACCATCAAATCTCATGAGACTTTTCTTCTGCCACCATCCCGATGATTCAGTTATCTCCCACTGGGTACCTCCCTCAACACGTGAGAATTATGGGTGATAGAATTTATGATGAGATTTGGGTGGGGACACAGCCAAACCATATCAGTCATAAACCTCCTGTTCAGTCCTCTAAGAAGTACTTTCAAAACTCACCTTTTTTCCAGCCACAATTCCAAGAATCACCTCCACACTGAAATTCTTGGAAGGCCCTGGGAAGGACAAAACTCCACTGGGGCTGTTCTTAGCTCCTCTGAGAACGACTTTGTGCCAGAGTATTGACCCTGTGGGGCACTGTCTGAGGTCACTCATGGCTCTTGTGTAGCCAAGAGGCAGGACATGTCACCTGACACCCCTTTGCTTTCCCTCCAGGTGGGCCTACCATGACTTTTTCAACCGGTATCGGGTGCTGGTCAAGAAGAGAGAGCTCGCCAACACGGACAAAAAGGCCATCTGCAGGTCTGTCCTGGAGAACCTCATCAAGGTGAGCCACACAGCCCAGCTCCAAGGACCCTAAAGATTGAGGGGGTGGCATTGTCATCTGCATTTTTTTTTTAGTCTTCATCCTTCTTATTGAATCTATTTCTGGGGCATCAATCTGTTTTCCTACATCGGTGACTAGAAAAAATAAAGCAACCCATTCACCTACCTAGGGCACTTCCCAACATTTTTCACAGCTCAGCATGCATAGAAAATGGAACTCTGTACAGCTCACTGGGGTTTATGATGAGGCTGCTCCTGACTGCAAGCTGCTGGCCCAGGATCTCTAGCTTCTCCAGTTCTCAGGGGTTACATAGCACGACCCATAGGGTACACCTGGGTAAGGACTCTGATGTGGAGCCCAGGCACAGCCCTGAAGCCAGCAGAGGGGAAAGTGGCTGCTGGATCTAGCTGGTTGCATCAGCAGCCTCAGGCCCTCCCCCAGGTATTTGTTGTAAGTAAGGCAATGGATTTTATGTTTTAATTGAAACAACTTGAAATCACACCTGACAGCTGAGACTGGAGAACTATAGAAGCAGAGCTATTGGGGCCTTTTATGAGGGGCAAATCCTTCAACATTTCCATGGTGCCAGACATTTCAGGGATGACAGCAGAATGTGATCATTAATGGCTCAATAAAGGTTAAATTATATCAAAAGTCACTGGAACAAGGTGATAAAAATAATTACCTCAGAAATTTTAATTTTTCAAGTTATGATTTTGTTAGGAAAATCTGTTCATCTGGAGTAGCTCATTGCCAGATGATCAAGATCTAAGGTCATGTTTTATTTTGTGAATGTGTCACTGCCATCTTCTGAGCATCATCTTAGCTGCTCAAGTCTAGCTATAGACACTGCAGAATATCGTCATAAATGTATGTACAGCTTTAAAGTTGCCTTTTTAAAAAGAGAGCCTAAATACTAACCCCACCCCCGCCATGCCATTTTTTTTTTTTTTTTTTACAGGGTAAGGGGGTAACAGGCTGGTTAATCAAGGGCTGTATTTAGTTGGACTCTGGTTGATTGAGGCTTTTGCTGTGGTCCACCTATCAGTGTTCACATTTTAGCATCTTACTTTTTATGGATGAGAAAAATCTCTGTTAAAGGTCAGCTGATTTCAAGGCCTGTGAGTAGCCTGCTCTGCCATGTGACTGCCTTCTCACTTGTCTAGGGTCATTGTTTCCCTCTTCTGTTCCTTCCCTGGATTTCTCCAGGTTTGCCACCAGGACCTCTGATTCCTAGACAGGGAACTCTGGAGCGGGCCCAGATCAGACTGGCTGAGTCGGCCCCCACACCGCTGTCCCCTTCAGTTAACAAGACCATGCCATGGCCTGGGGCTGCTGATGTAATATGCTCAGGACACTGGGCCTTTCCTGGCATAGCTGCCTCTTCTCTCTACTGATGGGGAGCCTGCCGCTTCTCAGTGCCCGGCTTCAGTGCCGCTCCTCCCTCCTGTTTTCCCTGGTCCAATGTGTGGTGCCTGGGGTACTTCATGTCACTCTTAGAGTCCATACCATGCTGACCTATGTTCCAGATGGGTGTGTCCTTTCTGGTAGAGGCCAGTGTCTTTATGTTGACGCCACCTCCTTAGTTATGAGCACTGAGCCTAATACACAGGGAGAACCCACCTAATCTTTATGGAATGAACGAAAGAACAAGTGACTTGCCTGAAGAAAAGTTATATGAATGCATGCTGTTTCCTCTGCCTGAAATGCTTTTTCCCTCTTTCACCTGCCTAACGAAGTGCTATTCTCCTTCCAAACTGAGCTCTAAAATACCTCCTTGGCCTCCTGAATGGTGTTAGCTACTCCATCTTCTATGGGCCAGCAGTACTCACCTCCTCCCTTCCCTTATTACATGCATTCCCTTATGTTGTAATTGAGGGCTTATCATTTCACCAGACTGTGAACACATAAATGGCAAGGGTCCTGTGGTGGCTGTGTTCCTTACACAATTCCCGATTGTCACAGGAATGTATGAGTTTGTGCAGTTGGCTGCATGGGAACCAGCCAAGAGCTGTTCATGACTAGAAACCTGCCAGTAATGGCTCATCCTATGAGGAATATACAGGAATCACCCTCATTTTACAGATGAGGAAACTGAGGCACAGAAAGCTGACATAAATTGCCCAAGTTTGCCTAGGTGGACTGACTCTAACTCCCACTGTCTAAACTACATTGCCCTCTGATCTAGTAGGATTGAGTAATGTCACTGGGCACAGTTATCCTTCCTGGAGACAGAATAGAGACCAGAGCTAAAGACTTCCTTGGCACCTTCTATTTTCTCCTTTTTATTTTTCCTCTTTTCTTGGGGCCGTATCCAGACACCCATACTTATCATGCTGAGTGACCTAGGACTTTATGTCAAGAAACTAAGACTTGACACAGCTGCATGTTAACTTAGAGGGACACATGCCCGTTCCCCACCCTGTCCCATGCAAGTGCTAAGTACAGTTTGGAACAGAACAATAAGGAGAGAAGTGGGGACAAAGGTGGCCTGCAGGACAGGCACTAGGTGCTTAAGGACCTCCTTCCTGGAGGGGCAGCCTGGGGCTGGGGCTGCTTCATTAGGCTGTCAGTGAGGTCTTAACAAATTGTTGTGGCTGTTTAGGGTAGAAAAGTAGATTCTGGTGGCGTATCCCCTGCAAGGATTTTAGGAATAGCCCCTAACATTCTTAACCTGAATTTGTTTATTCTTCAATACATACTGAATTATTTGTACTGTGATCTAGAGGGGTTAGTGTGAGGGTTTTAAAAGAGTGCATTAAATGGGCTCTGCCCTCCAGTAGTCTAATGTCATGATGACTCTAACTGTAGAGGATCACATCATGGAGACTGGCTGTCGTGCAAGCCTGAACCTTCATCACACGGATGAAGGAGGTTAACAAACACCTACAGGGAGCCCATGGAGCACAAGGGACTATGTGAGCGCTGTGTAGTGGAGACAGGGTCATGAAAAGGGGTGAGCTGCAGTTGGAGACTTGTGGCCTGGGACACCCAGATCTGGGGTTATCCTTTGATATTTGCTCAAGTGACCTCGAGCAAGTCACTTTACCACTCTAGGCTTCAGTTTTATCATCTGTGAAGTAAAAGGAGTGGCTTGAGATGGATGCTAAGGTGGCTTTCAGCTGCTGCAGTCTGACTCTTGGAGAAAGGTTCTCAAAAGATGATCGATTGATCAGTGAATAGTAAGTTCTAAGGGTTAGAGGAAGCAGATCTGGGTGAGAGATGTGCTGGAGACATGCAGGGTGAGGACAGTGTGGAGATCAGGCTGATGGGTGTCTCGGTGGAGCAGGTAAGACCCTCAGAGAAATCCTTGTCCAGAAAAACAGTGGCTCTGCCCAGCATATCATCCCTTCCTGGTTTTTCCAGAATAGGGAATGAAGCACATGTACTCCGGTTGCATGGATGCAGTAGGCAGACCCCAGCCTCCGGCTCTGCTTAAGCTGGAGGACCTAGGCTTGTCCCCTGATTACAGGGGCTTAGCCACCTTGCTTTGGCTTCCTGACCCCTCCTGGCTCAGCCAGGAGCCGCCCCCAGCAGGGCAGAGATCAAAGCAGGGCCTTGACTGCCTCAAAGCTCCCAGACTCAATCCAGACCCTGTTCCTCTCGGCCTGAGCTGAAGGCCCAGTGGGTACATGGCTCTGAGCAGACACAGAGAGGACAGCCAGGCCCAGAGCCCACTCCTGCCAGCTTCACCAACAGCCTGGCCCATGCCAGGGACTCAGTTGGTGACACTCAAGCTAGAAGTTGTGCTGCCAGCTCAGCCTCAGCTCAGGCAGGACAGCCTTCCCTGTGTGTGGAACCTGACTCCTAGTAACCCAATAGAGCTTGCCTATGAAGAATGATGACTCAGCACTTTTCAGGGCCATTTGCCAACATGAAATGCATTCTTGTGTGTGTGTTTTCCTTGAACTTGGCTCATTCCTTCCTTTCTCATTATGGTCTTCATGCCAGTGAGCAAAATGGGATGGCAGTTGATTTACAAAGAGCTCTGTCATTGTGGGTTTCCCTCCCAGTGCTCTGTCCCAGGCTTGTCCACAGGCACCCTGCTGGGTCGTCTTTCCTCAACCACAGGGGTGAGGGCAGGGAAGGGCAGATAATTTTAACCTAATGATGTAATTAAGACAGTAATTACAGGTCCAAAACAATCTCATAGTTTTGTTTGGGGGTTATTTGCACCCTGTAATTACACATACAACTGTGTGGTGTTGTATCCATTTGAGGATAATCTTTTAAAAATGTCGAGCAGATCAGGTCATTCCCTTACTCAAAGTTCGCTTGTGGCTCTCACCCCAATTTTATTTGGCAGCCTATGAGGCCTTTGGTGATTGGCTCCTCCCATCACTCACCTTCAGTTCCCCCAGCTAACCATCCTGGCTCTCCTGATCCTCAGATATACCCAGCAGTTGCTACCACCAAACATATGTATCTGCTCTGTCCTTCTCCTGGAATGTTCCTCCGTTTTCCATGGCTGCCTCCTTCCACTCATTAGGTCTTTGCTTAGCTGTCACCTCCACAGAGCCGCCTTCCTCCAGCATCCTTTCTGAACATCCCCATCCCATCCCCAGCCCCCAGTTTGTTTTCTTCATAATCCTCACCATTCTCTGAAAACAGAAAGCATCTTTATTTGCTTGTCTATCTACCCTCACCATGATGTCAGTTCCCTGAAGGCAGGTGTCTTGTTCACTGCCATGTTCCAGAGTCTGGCCTGTAGTAGGGCCTTGGGGTCTGTTAAGCAAATGCTGAAACTGTGTCTATCTACAGAGAGGGGTATGTGAAGTCTGGCCAGGGAATTCTGCATTGGATGAATGAGGGTGGTATGGGGCATGTTATTTCTCTGCTCACTGGTGACCACCCAGGTCCCCTCCCTGCCTTGTAAAGGATCCCGACAAGTTCCAGTTTGGCCGCACCAAGATCTTCTTCCGAGCTGGCCAGGTGGCCTACCTGGAGAAGCTGCGGGCTGACAAGTTCCGGACAGCCACCATCATGATCCAGAAAACTGTCCGGGGGTGGCTGCAGAAGGTGAAATACCACAGGCTGAAGGGGGCTACCTTAACTCTGCAGAGGTACTGCCGAGGGTACCTGGCCCACAGGTGAGCCAAGCCAGGGCAGATCAGGGCAGCAGAGCATGGTGGGGAGGATGGGGGTCTGCCTCTCTCAACTACTTGGTTTCTCTCTTCCTCTGTGCCGAGAGTGGTTCCTGGTGGGGCCATGTCTACATGTTGGCTTTTTTCTGGAAACTGGGGCACTCCTCTAGCCAATACCCTTCTCACCTCGGGTTAGGTCTAGTTCCCACGTCTCCTGGTTTCCCCAGTATCTCTGCATCCTACCAACACTAGAACCAGCTGGTTTTGCCACACATTTCCCCTTTGCCTAAACCCCAAAGTCAAAAACTAACTACTTTTAGGAAAAGAGACCCATACAGCCTGGCACAGTTAACCTGCACTCGGCCTCATTATTTATCCCACAGATTTCAGAATGCCTCAGAGTTGGGCAATTAGGGCTGAAAAGGTCCTGGGAGGCCCCATTTGTGAGTTACTGCACAGAGCCAGGATGGAGAGAGTGTGACTTTTCTAAGCACAAGCAGCTACCTAGGGGTGGAGCCAGGATGCCAATCAGCCTCCCCTGCCCGCCCGCAGCTCCACCCAGAGCAGAAGAAACCACAGCAGGGTTCCTTCCTCACTGACATCACTGGGCTGATGAGGCACTAAAGCAGCAGGAGTGTGTCAGCCAAGACAGGCAGAAGACATAGCCTGCCATCTGACCCTACCCTCGATGGTCAGGTTTTGGGCCCAGGCCTGGTTCAAGTCCAGTGCCATCTCCAGAAAGGAAATTCTGTGGAGAAGTGACAATAATTGCCACAAAGTCTTGTGTCTGGAGGCCAAACAGAGAGCTAGACTAGGGAATCAGATGCATTTCAGCCAACAGGTGATGCATGGGCTGAGTGGGTCACCTCCTCCTTTGAGGCTTTGCTGAATGATTTCCAAGGTCCTTTCTGACATTTCACACTGAGTCTCTAACTGAGCACTTGCTACAGGCCTGGCAGCAAACAAGACCCTTCAGAAGGGGACTTTCTTATTTAGGGGGTGAGGTAGGAAGGTAGAAAGGCAAGAGAGGAGAGGAAATGGCCACATTCAGTGCATCCCGAGCAGAAAGGGTTGAGGAGATAAACAGAGGGGGATTGGTGTGGGCCTGAAAAGGTTTTAGTCACTCAGCAAATACTTACCTGGTGCCTGCTCTGTCAGAGGCAGTGGATCCAGGGTGATGGAGACACAGCCCCTGGAATCTCCCAGCCTGGGGAGGTACAAAGAGAGGACAGGCAGCAGTGTGCACGCATGATGTAGAGTGCTGTGAAGTGGTTGAGGACTGCCCAGGCACAGTGAGGTAGGAGAGTGCTCTGATAAGGATCCCAGAGGAGGCCAGACTCTGACTGAGTTTGAAGCTTGTAGGAAGCCTTTTGGGATCATAAAGAAAAAACAAATACTGCCTTTCTAGCCTCAGCATCACATGCCTAAGGCATTTGCTGCATTTGTTAAGGGTGAAGAAAGTTGGCTTGCCCTGGAGTGTCCAGAAAGGGCCACAGAAGGAGGGGTTTGCATTTGCAGATGTCTCAGGGTCCTCTGCATCAGCGCGGTCAGTACTCTCCCTGACACTGCCAGTTTCCTCTTGCTCCCCAGGCTGGCTGAGCACCTGCGGAGGACCAGAGCGGCCGTGGTGCTCCAGAAATACTACCGCATGCAGAGGGCCCACCAGTCCTACCAGAGGATCCGCAGGGCTGCCATCATCATCCAGGCCTTCACTCGGGCCATGTTTGTGCGGAGAACCTACCGCCAGGTGAGTAGCCACTCTGAGGGCCTCACAGCTGCAGATTCAGAACTAAAGCAGCAACAGATGAATTACTGCCAACACGAACCTTCGTCAAGCACGCCCAACCTTTCTCTAAATGCTTTCATGTCTCTGCTCTCACCAAATCCTTTCTGAAGTCCCACGAGGTAGGATGGGTGTGCATACTGTTGTCTTAGTCCATGAAGTGTTGCTGTAACAATATCAGAGGCTGGGTGATTTATGAAGAAAAGAGGGCTTATTTGGCTCACAACTCTGGTGGCTGGAAAGTTCACAGTTGAACATCCGCTTCTGGTGAGGGCCTCGGCTGCTTCCACTCATAGCAGGAGGCAGAAACCAGTGTGTGCAGAGATCTCCTGGTGACAGAGGAAGTACAAAAGTGGCTCTTTTAACAAGCAGCTCTAAGCCAGAAGTGGGCGGATCATGAGGTCAGGAATTCGAGACCAGCCTGGCCAACACAGTGAAACCCCGTCTCTACTAAAAATACAAAAATTAGCTGTGCGTGGTGGCGGGCACCTGTAATCCCAGCTACTTAGGAGCCTAAGGCAGGACAACCGTTTGAACCTCGGAGGTGGAGATTGCAGTAAGCCGGGATCGTGCCATTATACTTCAGCCCATGCGATGGTGTGAGACCTCATCTCAAAACCAAAAACAAAAAAAAAAGTATCTCTAATGGGAACCAACAGTGGGGACTCACCCTTGAAGAACAGCATTTATTTGTTCATGAGGGATCTGCCCCTGTGATATCTCCCGTTAGATTCCATCTCCAACATAGGGGATCAGATTTCAACATCAGTTTTGAAGGGGCCCAGCATCCAACCATGGCAATTTTTATAGCCCTTCTGATACCTGAGTTGCTCAGAGAAGCCATGTCACCTGCCCGAGGGCCCAGGCCAGCCAACAGCAGGACCAGGTGACCCATCTAAGGCTCATTCAGACTTGAGAGCAGGCAGTGGTATTGGGCATCATCAGGTCTAACCCCTCCGTTTAGCAGATCAGAAGCTTGAAGCCCAACATGGTGAGGTCAGGAGGGAGACCCCGACATCTTCCCTGCCAGGCTCTTGTTCTTGTGTTGTTCCAGTGAAGCCAAAACTCTTGGTTAGGGAGCCCCAAATCAGGACACATCTGTTCAACCAGGTAACACCAACACATCTGAAACACAGAACTGACTTGAAAGACAAATTGGAAGGAAATGTCTAAAATGGTTTTCTTTTTCATTAAATGAACATCTGTCTCTTCTATGATCACAGAAGATGTGATTTTTCTAAATAATAAAACTAAAGCACTAAATTGAGAATAATAACAATGGGGTCAGGGTGGAGCACACCCTGGTGCACAGGTGGCAGTGGCAGACCCAGGCCAGTGGGAGAAGGTTCTGCGAGTATTCTTGGGTGATGGGTGGCATTGGTGTGCTGCTGCCATGGAATGGGGTGGGTGATGTTTGGGAGGCACCCAGCAGTGGCGGCACATGTGAAGAGTGAGCACTGATTTGGCTCCCTGCTCTGTCACTCATGGCCCCATTCATCGCTCAGCCTGTTTTCTTGTTTACTCATTATTCCACAAACATTTATTTTGCCAGATACTAGGGTGAGCACACTGATGATGCTTTCATTTCCTGAGTGGTTTTTTAACTTGGTATAAAAAAAAAAAAAACCCAGTGAGTTACACACCAAGTTTGTAATTATAAGCCATTAGCCTGCTGTGGACACTCACTGAAGGATCTCACTTCCAGCTCAGTGCTACCAGGAGGGGACCACCACCTGATAATGCAGGGAGAGCAAGTGGATGATCATGTCCCTACAACCTTGTGGTTTTCAGACTGGTTTCCTAACCCATAAAAGAAAAATTAAAAGCTAAAAAGAGTTTGACAGCTGATTCCCTGTGGATATGTGGCTGCAGATCCTAACTAAAATGTGTTATAAAACCACCACCAAAGCCTTAAATCATAGGGGGCACATTCTCTGTGTAGTTCCTAGAACTGAGGCTGCCCTGGGGTCTCCCCTCCACAGGCAGTGATATATGCTTCCTTAACTCCCGTCCTGCAGTGCAAACCCACAAGGTGTGTATCCTTGTCTCCTGCCAGGTCCTCATGGAGCACAAGGCCACCATCATCCAGAAGCATGTGCGGGGCTGGATGGCACACAGGCACTTCCAGCGGCTGCGGGATGCAGCCATTGTCATCCAATGTGCTTTCCGGATGCTCAAGGCCAGGCAGGAGCTGAAGGCCCTCAGGATCGAGGCCCGCTCAGCAGAGCATCTGAAACGCCTCAACGTGGGCATGGAGAACAAGGTGGTCCAGCTGCAGCGGAAGATTGATGAGCAGGTCAGTGTCCACAACTCCCCACCCAGGTGTTGGGGCATGTTTGAGATAGCCCATGGCTTCCTTGGGGAACGGCATGTGCCAAAGACCTGAGGGAGCACAGATGTTCTCAGGAGCAGCAGATACTAACTGTGGCAAGCAGATCGATGGCCCCTAAAGATATCCTCAGCCCTGGGACCTATGAGTGTGTTACCTTATATGGCAAGAAGGACATTGCAGATGCAATTAAATTAACTGTAGGATGGGAAGAGTGGGCTTGATATAATCACAGGGGTCCTCCTAAGAAAGAGGCTGGAGGGTCAGGTTCAGAGGAGAACTGATAACAGAATCAGAGGTGGGAGGGTTGCAGGCTCTGAGCCAAGGGATGCAGGCAGCCTTGAGATGCCAGAGAAGATGAAGATGTGGACTCTCCCCTAGAGTGTCCAGGAAGAATGCAGCCCTGATGACCCCTTCAGACTCCCAGCCTCCAGAGCTGTAAGACAATGATTTATGCTATTTTGAGTCATAACTTGGTGGTAACTTGTTGCGGTAGCAATAGGAAACTGACACACTAGCCTAAGGTGCTGGTGTTTTGCACCGGCAGGGGTGGCATGGGGTCATGGCAGCAGCAGCCTGTGTGCGCAGAGGGCTTGCTGTTGCAAGGCATGGGGCTGGTGCTTTGTCTGGAGAAGCTTGTTTAATATATCGGCCCTCCTAAGTCAAGTGTTACCATCCCCCTTTTTGTACAGTTGAGGACACTGGAAGGACACCCATCATCCTAAAGTCACACAGGTGGCAGTGGCAGGGCCAAGGCTTGAACCCCAGCTATCTGGCTCCAGGGCCCATGCTCTGCATCACCTTGCCCTTATTCCTCTCTTTCTGCCTGTCTGCTGCTTTTGGAAATAAGAATTGCTTTGGAAATAAGAATTCAGTTCTGCTTAAAAGTTGAGTGACTACATAACTACTCTGAACCTCTTTTCTTATCCATAAAATGGGTCTGACAGGGCTGGAAGAAGATGAATGGTCTAATGCATATGCAGGGCCTGGGATGCAGTAGGAGAAACCTGGGAAATGGTTAGCGCTCTTATTTTTAAGCTTTGCCCTCTTTCTACCCTGGCTGCCTTCTTATATCAGCCCATTACAGGACTAATAAGCCATTGATTAAATTCCTGCAGGGGGCTGGGTACTGCACAAGGTGGTACAAGAGATTCGGGATGAGCACAGGACCCTCGGCTCTTTCTGTCTGGTGGAAAAGACAAGGCTCACACATGTACGTGCACAAACCCAGGCACCCACTTTTTGGTGGCCTACGTGGCCAGTCCTCCTTCCCTTCAGAAGACCTTTATTGGATACTTGGCTGTTTCAGGTGGTTCATTGGGCTTGCTGGACAGAGGATGGCTGTGACATACATCGCATGCTGTATCATAAGGGAGGAAATTTTATGCCAACAGGGCAAACAGCATGGATCCTCCTGAGGATTTATGAAGCATCCACCATGTGCCAACCTCTGCGATATGTGTTTTGTGTTCACTCTTATTTGATCTTCACACAATCTTATGAGGTTGTTTTGTATATGAGGAGAAGGTGAGCCAGGGACATCAAGTACCTTGCCAAGGTCACAGAAAGAAAGTGCTGGGACCAGGATTCCACCCCAGCTCTGATCCCATGGCCATAATGAGGGCAGTGCTGGTTTTTTAAACCCAAACATTACCGAAGAGTTTCAGTTCTTTCCCATGTACACCCACTGCTGCGATTGGCTCTCAGAGTTGAATGGAGGTCACTGTGACTTTGTGCATGAAAGGTGTAGAGGTGACCGCAGAACCAGGCTTCCAAGTGCCCCTGAGGGTGCCTTCTAGGGAAGGAAAGGACATGAAGAGTGTGCATGGTGCAGAGAAAAAGAGAATTTTAGAGTTGGAGCCATCAGGTATGGCCTTGGAAGTCATTTGGTTTTAATGTATTTATTCTATGCTGGACATTTTTGAAGCTTCTCATGACCCAGTAGGGCAGGAAAAAAGGGCATTTTACACCTAAGTCAGGGGCCCTGAACAGGATCCCAAAAGCAGTGCACAGCTAGCAATAGAATATCTCTGTTTCCCTGCTCTTGCAAAAGACAAGACTTTCTGAGAAGAGATTGTCACTGGGTGTTTCTCTGTGTGAGTTCTACAGGGGGCCTTGTTTGACTTGGCTCCTTATTGGGGAAGCAAGGCAGAGAGCCCAGTAACAGGGTGAGGACCTTGGTATTTGCCCCTGGTCAACCTGCTGTGATATATACCAGGTCAGGAAGGAGGGCTCATCCACTCAGAGGGACAGGAGTACAAAGAGAAAGTCTGGTGTCTGGCACTGGCCCTTTGAGAACATGAGCATGCCAAGGTGGTGGTGGTTATTGTGGCTGTTAACAAGAAGACAAGACTTGCTTAGTCAAATGTTGTGAGTTAACTTTCCAGCCAGAGTGCAGCCTCAGGAATGAGGGAGCGTTGACCATTGCATCCTGCCAGGAGCCCTGTGTACATGCCAGCTCCCCCAGTCTTGGTTTCCAGCCATAGGGATCTGCATTGGCATTGCTGATTTCTAAAGTTAACTTGAGAGGATAAAAATAAATCTAGTATTTTACAATCCACGTGCTTGAAAAATCAAAGAAAAGCAGATTTAAACCGCCTATTTTTTTTTAAAGGCTTTTTGCCTTAAGTTTCCTGCTTGGCAAACATCTGTGAGTGGTGGCAGGTGTTAGCTACCCTGGGCAGGATGCCCTGTGTGTAGAGAGTGATCAGAAAAGGCAGGAGGGGTGGATAAGCTCTTGCTTTCTTGCACCCTTGCCCACACTGCCTGAATCAACACCCAGTGCTCTTCTCATGTGTTAACTCATTTAATCCCCACCAGAACTGTAGGAGATAAATATTAATATCATTTCCATTTTAAGGATGAAAAACCTGAGGCACACAGTTTAAGTAGCCTGCTTGAGGTCATACAGCTAGTAAGTAGCATAGCTGGGATTGAAACTGGGTAGGCTGGTGTCAGGGTATGTTCTGCCACCTCTGACAAAGCTATAAGATCTCTAGCTTTTGAGAGACTCTTGGACCATGTCAGGAGAAGTCCTCAGTCCAAGGGAGATGCTTAGCCTCAGTTTGGGTTCATGCTCATACTGATAGCATTGTCCTTGGGACTAGCTGGCATTTAATAGTCGGGAGTGTGACCCAGTGTCAAATGACATGCTTGACACTCTGATGCAAGAGGAACCATTGATGTAATCTCTACAGAGCTCTATATAGGGGCTTATTTCATTTCAGTCTCTTAGCAGATGGGGCCAGCTGTTTGCAAGTGAATAATGTTTTTTTGTTGTTCACTTCTTGTTCCCTATAATTCCTGGAGACAATTCAGGCAGTGGTTCTCTCAGCACACAAGGTTTTTAAGCCAGAAGGGGAGAATCTGCGAACACCAGGGTCACCACAGGTGAAGGTGTCCCAAGGTATTTGTCAGAACAGCACAGGGAGTGGACAGTGTCCCCACTGGACAGAAGCCTGGGTTCTGTCTCAGTTATATTCACAACCAGAGCTGATAGCTTGGAAATGATTGGGCCTTGAGTTCTTCCAAGGTACTTCACCTGAGATCTCGAAGGTAACATCTAGCTCAAAAATTCACTGATACCATGATCTGACCACAGTAGTGTTCCTATCCCCAGACTGTACTCTAGAATCTCCTAGGGAGCTTTTTTCTAAAAAAGTATCCTCACTGCCAAGAAATCAGTAAGGGAGGAAACAAAGACAAAACGAGGGTAAGGTTAGCACCCAAAATTCACATCCTAAGGCCTTGTACACCCAATTGGAAAGAAAAGATGCAAATTTGGCACCAAGTTTCCAGGCAAACAGTAACCAAAAGGAAAGAGATTGGCTTGAGAGTCCTTAAGAGAAAAGAAACATGCAGGTAGAGAGGATTTGGAGCTGTCCATGGTGCTGACATGTTTGTCCTTTGGCATTTCGTAATCTGTGACGTGACAAGCCACATCTTTTACCATATCCTGCAGTGATATATACAGTGCTGGTTCTTGAGACCATTTCTTCCAGTGTCCCTGGGATAGGCTGTGACATGACATCATTCAGCGAAACGATGTAACCCATGAACTCCGCTCTCTGCCAGTCTGGCTTTAGTCAAGCACCCATATAGAGTTGACCAGTTTAACTTACAATTTATTTATAATGAGAGTAAAGTTTCTTAGACACTTAAGAGTATAAGGTTATCCTTAAATATATTTCATATAAGAAATATGGCACAAATATGTGGAGTCAGCAGCCTTTTAAATCAATCTGATTCCATATACTTAGTAGTCACTTTGTAAATATGTTATATTTGTTATATATAATCATGCATATATACACACACACACACACACACACACACACATATCCTATACAGTCGTGCATTAACAACAGGGATATCTTCTGAGAAATGCATTGTTAAGCAAGTTTGTAGTTGTGTCAACATCATAAAAGGCACTTACACAAACCTGGTTGGTGTAGCCTACTACACACCTAGGCTATGTGGTACAGCCTATGGTTCCTAAGCTACAAACTGGCGTAGCATGTTACTGTACTGAATACTGTATGCAAGTGTAACACAATGGTAAGTATTTGTGTATCTAAACATAGAGAATGGATAATAAAAATATGATATAAAAGATGGGCACTTACCATGAATGGAGCTTGCAGGCCTGGAAGTGGTGTGGGGTGAGTGAATGTGAAGGCCCAGGACATTACTGTCCACTCCTGTAGACTTTATAAACCATACACTTAGGCTACACTAAGCTTACTAGAACATTGTTTCTCTTCAGCAATTAACCTTGGATTACTGTAATGTTTTTACTTTATAAATGTAATATTTTTAACTCTTGGCTCTTTTGTAATGCTTAGCTTAAAACACAAACATACAACTGTACAAAACTATTTTCTTTCTTGATATTCCATAAGCCTTTTTCCATTTTTGAAATTTATTTTGGTGATACACTATTCTTCATAATGTGCTTATTTCACATTGCATATCTATCAAAACATCTTCTGTACCCCATAAATATGCACACCTATTATATACCCAAAAAAATTAAAAATAAAATTTTATTTTTTTTTTTAGTTTTTTTGTTAAAAACTAAGACACAGACACATGCATTAGCCTAGTCCTACACAAGGTCAGGACTGCCTTCCATCTCCATATCTTGTTCCACTGGAAGGTCTTCAGGGCAGTAATGTGGCAGGGAGGGTTTCTGGGGTCTCCAAGGGGTGGGCACCCCATGCCCTGCCCTCTGCCAGGTTTGGCTGCACAACCATGGCACCTATAGGTGCAAGGATGAGCCTTCTGGGGTCTGCCCTTCTGAAGTCAAATGTCCAGAACATAAAACACACCTCCATGGGCCCCCAGTGACCATATATGAATGCCTATGACAAGACATAAGCAGCTCCCCACCCACACCCCAGACAGCCAGAGACTCAGGCATCTCTCCAGGGTTCTCCACAGAGAATCTGAACAATGAAGATAGCTGATGTTTATGAGCCCCTAGCAAAGTACTTTATCTCCCTAATCCCACCCTCTGAGGTAGGAGTTACTGTTACATTCCTGCTTTACACATGAGGACACAGAACAGAAAGCCTGGATGACTAGGTCAGATATACACAGCTGATCAAGGATAGAGCTGGGATCTGAGCACAGGTCTGTCCAGCTCCAGCCACTCCGCTCCCTGACATCCGTGAGCCAGGTCTCAGACAGTGTCAAGATCAATGCAGCTGGGCCTCCTGGATACATCATACTTCACATTAGAGCCCTGGGCTGCCATCTTTGTCAGTAGCAAGATAGGATGTGCCTCCTGCCACCATGTGTGCTTCTCTTCATGCCACAACAAGCTCTACCTAGAGACCCCCTGCCCAGTTATCCTCCTACTCCTGGCATCTGACCCAGGCTGTGCCATCTAGAGAGAGCAGCTGGGCTGAACCTCCTGTCCAGCCCAGAGCAGAGAAGAAGTCAGAGGGTGGCTAGTCCAGTGTGTGTTCCCGCCCTGTGCCCCACTCCCCTGTGTAGAGATCCTCACCCTCCAGTGGAGACCCAGACTGGAGTGGATAATACAGACACACATTGGGTTTGGTTTTTTGATTGTTTGTTTTGAGTTGGAGTTTCTCTTCATTGCCCAAGAGTGCAATGACGCAATCTTGGCTCACTGCAACCTCTGTCTCCTGGGTTCAAGCGATTCTCCTGCCTCAGCCTCCAAAGTAGCTGGGACTACAGGTGCCCACCAGCACACACAACTAATTTTTGTATTTTTAGTAGAGATGAGGTTTCACCATGTTGGCTAGACTGGTCGCAAACTCCTGACCTCAGGTGATCCGTCCGCCTCAGCCCACCAAAGTGCTGGGATTATAGGCATGAGCCACCACAGCCGGCCAGGTTTTTAAATAGAATCTGCTTGATTGGGTTTCTTCTTTGTGATGCCTTAGAGCAAAGCTGACAGGCAGACCAGGCTTGAAGATGTGTCAGGTTGTAACCAGGAGATTCCCACAGAGTGCTGTGGGGGTGCTCATTCTGTTGGTTGGTGCAGAAAATGGACTGCTGGCTTGTGCATTGATGTGCTGGTCACAGCCACAAGGCACCACAGCATATGTGGCATTTTACCGGGTCCCAGAGATTTTCTTTTGCTGCTCCTTACTGCTTTCTGTGAAGTTTAATTTCTTACGTGAATTCATTATTGATTCCTGATGCTTCAGCTTACCAGTGTTTTGGCCGCTAGCTCTATTCTGCCTGGTGGTCCTGCGGAGCACAGCAATGAAGAATAATCAGTGATCGCTTTTGCCTGCTTGGTGATTTGGAGAACCCTATTTCTTCCTCTCCACTTTCCCCACTGACCACCCTCAGCTGATGCTCCCAACTCTTGTGGTGCTGATTACTGCCCATAATTTACAGTAGCACTTGATATCAGCACTAGCCTCTTAGGGCTATGGGCATGGAGGAGTCTTCACACCAGTTTGTTGCCTGAGTGGGCTGGGATTTGGTACCCCATCTGCAGGAGCATGGTGTGGGCAGGGTAGGTCAGGGCATCAGTTCCCTGAAGCTGACAGGTGGTGAGGGAGATTCCAAGGCCCCATGGAGAGCCTCCTTGGAATAAGGGATGCTGAAGGGGTCCTTTGTCTCAGAGCCAGCGATTAGGTTGCAGTTCTTTGTGCTGGTGAGTCCACAGGCAGGAGGGATCTGTATGAAAGGGAAACCTAAAAAGTGAAGGCTGCAATGCAGGGAGCCAGCTTCATTGTTCCTGCAACTTAAAAATAAGGTGTAGGATCCGCCCAGCCAGACATAGAGCCACGGACTAGCAGGCAGCTTCCAGCTCTGCACAGGCTCACGAAAGCTCCTTGAACTCTTTGAATGTCAGTGTTGCTGTTCTGTGTTTTCCTCTATTTCTGTAGGTTCACAGTAGTGTTTTATTAGGGAGATGCCAGGCAAGCACTTGAGCGTGCAGTGATTGTGAAATTTAATTCCACCTTGGAAGTTCCTTTTTTGATTGCCTTCCTGCTTTTTTCCTGGTAAAATAACCCTTTCCCCCACAACCCCTTCTTCTCCCTTCTCCTTGTTTGCTGATGTTCTCCACAGAACAAAGAGTTCAAGACATTGTCGGAGCAGCTGTCTGTGACAACCTCCACATATACCATGGAGGTGGAACGGCTGAAGAAGGAGCTGGAGCACTACCGGCAGAGCCCAGGTGAGGACAGCAGCCCGCGACTGCAGAAGGAGGTGGAGAGCCTGCGCACAGAGCTGCAGAGGGCCCACTCGGAGCGCAAGATCCTGGAGGATGCCCATAGCAGGGAAAAGGATGAGCTGAGGAAGGTATGCTCGGGCCAAAGGGGCAGGCACTGGCAAGCAGAGTGGGTGGGCACATGGAGCCACCCCTCAGAGACCACTGCTGCTTCAAGTGGTAAAACTTTCATGGACTTGGGCTTGTGTCCACAGACTGACTATTCATTTTGTGTCTAGACAGAAAGTGGCATGTTTTGGAGAAACCCACACAAGCATGACTATGCTTCTGCTGTTAGCTGGACACTGTGGCATACCCTGGGAGGGGCACATGGTATCTGCCTTTGAGCATTGTTTTTATGGTCTAGACTTAGGCTCAGGGCTGGCTCTGTGGCCTGCAACCTTGGCAAGAAAGCCAAGACAGAGGCTGGGGCTGCTCTTGATGTTACCTGCAGGGGTGAGGCAGCCTCTGAGCACCCCTGCCGATGATGCAGCATTGTGCTTTAGCAGATGCGCCTCACCTTTGAACACTGAAAGTCTCAGCCTGTCGTACCCACTCTGGTGGGCTTATTTCTTACACCATGAAATAGAACTTCCTGAGCTTTGCCCCAGCCCTAAACATCAGGGCACACAGATTCCCTGCTCCACTGCCAAGATAACTGTTCCAGCCAGGGAAGTCCCAAGGGCCCTTGGAGACCCCCCTACAGACCTGGGTCATTGGTGTTCTGCCTTCCACCTGCCCCCCACATCTCTACAAGCCACAGGGAAAATAACATGTTGCTCACTTATTCAATGTCTGTCCATCAGTGGGGAGTCGCAGTGAGTGGGAATCTAAGAGGGAGAGATGCAGTGTTCAGGGTGTTGGAGTAACATTTTCAAAACTGGGACAGGCTGGATGCTGCTGCACGAAGAGCCCTGGGGTAGACAGGGGTGTTCCCAGACTCCCATCCCCGCCCTGACATTCCCAAGGATGTGCAGAAAGCCTCACTGGCCTTAGTTCCCTCATCTGTGTGTATATTTGTAAAAGTTGGCTCAGATCATCTCCAAGTCCCCTTCTGGACTTGCACCTGGCCACCTCCATGAGATTGTGTTTGGCTCCTGGAAGGAACAGAGGCCCTCATCCCTATGTGGGAGTCTTTCTCTCTTCTATTTCCCATTGCCTTTCCTGACCTGAGCCCTCACACACATCTGAGGACCATGCAGACACCTGCGGAGGTGAGAGCCTACAGTGCCGGCACATACTGGGCTTGCGTAGATCTTCCCATCTTGGGTATCAGCACCGTCAGCTCCTGCCTTCACCCAGACCCCAGGGATCTCCAGGGGCCAGAGGTGGGATTTAGGTGTGGGAATTAGGGAAAGAAGAAAGTCAGATTCAGGCTTCCCATAAAAGGCCACCCTCCTGATATGTTGCTTTGAGGCACCACGAGACCCTCTGCCCAGGCAAGTCACCTGCCAGCCTGCCCACCTCGAGGAATAAAGTGGATTCCTTCTTTAGGATAAAGCATGTGTTGCTTGGAAACACTGTTAAATGTGGCTACAAGCCTGTAACCTACAAATCCACACTGGAATCCTGAAATTCCACACTTGTGGTTTGTCTAACCTTGGGAGCAGATGAATGGGATGGTAACCTTTCTACATGAATAAAAACCAGAAGGTGAGATCTAAAGCCAGAAAGAAAGGATCAAGAATAGAACTAGAACGCCGGAGATTAGTTATCCTGGGAGAAAGGAACATCCCTGCATGTGTGCCCAGACAGGTCGGACACTTGCAAAGTCTGTTTACCCAGCAGATCCACAAAATCAGGTCTCACCTATCTCTGCCCCAACAGATAGCACTTGACTCATCAGCTCCCCAGCCCCCTGCCCTGCTTCCCACTAAAAATGCTACTACTTGGGGACTTCAGCACTCTAAAACCCCAAGTCTCCATCAAAAGGAGTACATATGTAATATGAAAGTCTTTGTTGGAAGAGCAAAACAGAAGCAGACTCCCTCCTCCTATCCTTAAAAAAAAATTGCTATTTTTCCCTAGCAATAATATACTGGCCTAGGTCTTAAAGAACATTAGAACTTGGAATTGGTAACAAAAAGTTAAGGATGCTGCAAGGAGGGAAATGCTAGTAGAAGACTAGTGCAAAAGCCCCTTCCCTACCCCAGTGTAAGCAAATCCGAACTTAGTAACACTCAGAAACCAACAGGAGATGACTCATGAAGTGGCATGTCCACCTCTTTCCTGGGAAAGAAAAAGCGGAAGCAAACATTCTTTAGGATCTTCAGAATCTTTTTGTGGTGGTGGCTGGGGGTAGGTAGACAAACTGGCTGGCTTTTTTTGTTTTGTCTTCTGCACCTCCTCAGGGTATAATATTTATCCAAGGCACTGTGTCAATCTCAACAAATGCTGAGTAATCAGACAATTGGTTTCCTCCTGGGCTTGAGGCGCCTGCTCTGCGTTGAGCGAGATTGATGAGACCAGCCAAGCACAGTGAGGGGGCCGACTGCTAGTAGATGTTTAATTAATGAGTTTGATATTTCCATCAGCAAAGGCAGGGAGTGTTGTATTGGATCTGCTATCCTGGAAAACTCTGGGCTTGCCATCTCTGACAATATTAATTGGCAGGCCACGTGGCTGCTCTACCTTGGTCTGTCTCCCTGGGGGCAGGAATTCACCTCTGTGTCCACAGAGCACAGAGCAGCCCTGTTACATAAGTGAGATGACATCCTTTTCTACTAAAGGTTTCTGTTGTTTTGGCGCCTCCACGGGGTGGTCCACACCCAAGCCCTTAGCCTCCTTCCCTTTTAGCCTGTGGAAGGTGTACATTTCATTCTTTTTGAAAGCTTCAGTGAGCCCTATGCCAGCTGCTTTTGTACAGCTGTGCTGTTTTGCATGGCCACTCTGTTTGGTGAGAGAGAGGCACTCCCCAGGGCTGCCCTAGGCACAGAGGTAGTAACTCATTATTCAGAATCTGTTCTGAAGGCTGCTCAGTGGGACCAGAGAAAGGGCTGGCTTGGTGCAGGGCTGTGGTGGGTGAGGAGGAGCCACCCACAGCCAGGTCCCTGGCTCTGAGTGGACATCCCTGGTCCTTGTGAGAGATGACTAGCAGGCCCCCAGGCAGGAGCATTCGGACTAGTGGGGCTGGGTTGTGCATTGTCTCAACACATCAGTCACAGAACCACCAGCCACTAGCCGGTTGCCTTGGGCAGTTTCAGTTATAAAGGTTTTGATTTTTCCAAATAGATGTAGAGAGATCTGGCTTGGGGAATGGGGGCTCTCACAGCAGAGTGTGTTGAGCCTTCTCCCCAAAGGCACAGAGCAGAACTATTTTCACTGACCAAGAGGGAGTTGTGCTCTCAGCAGCACCAGGACTCACGGTTCATGTGGAGGCTGAGGGTTATTAGGAAGCAGACCCTGACCCATCGCTGGAAGGACATTGTCTCGCTGCAGAAAGCACAGTAGTTCATGGTCCTTCATTCAGCAGGTGTTTGAATGCTGGTATGTTAGATCCTGTTCTACACACTGGGGCAAAAGGTGAATGGTTTTCGAAAAAGCCCTTCTCATTCTTAAGGAGCTTAAACTTGTGGGGGATGGGGGAAGAAAGTACAGACAGGAATCGAACACGAATTACCCACCACGGGCTGTAAACAACAATGAAGCAGAGTAAAGGCGATGGAGGGTGACCTGTGGGGCCTAAGGGGTGCGGTTTCACTTTTGATGGCCAGAGAAGATCTCCCTGAGAAGACACCTGAGTGAGGGGAGAGGATAAACCAAGGCAATTTGGGGGAACAGGTGACAGGTATAGCACAGATGCACAGGCCTTGGGGCAGGAAAAGCCTGGGTGGGTGTGAGGACCAACACAGTGCCCCCTGGGCTCAGGAGGAGTGAGGAGACAAATACTAGGAGCACGGCTGTGATCAGGAAGGATCTTCTGACTTCAACGGCAGCCTCGGTCCATGAAACCTCCAGAGACATGAGCAACCCTGTCCCAGGCACTTCAGCTTCTGTGAGCTTAGGGCTGGGAGAGGAATTAAAACACATCTGCAGGACCATTTTTGAAGATATTTTAGCCAATCGTTTCAAAGTTGACTTACGATCCAAAGGAGGTTGATTTTCAACTTTTGCTTTCATAACTCACCTAGTTTAAAAGACAAATTCATGCTGTGCTTACTTAGAAGAATATTCTCAGAGAACGGTCAAATAAACACTTCTAGAGTTTGGAGAATTAAAGGTGTTGTCCCTATCTAGGGCTGTGCCTGTAAATTTCTATGATGTGGTAACTGCACAGTAGCAAGGACAGATGGCAGATGAGCCTTTTCTGATCAGCATTGTCCAACCAGTTTTCCCATGTTTGCTACTAGAAACCGTGTGCTGGCTCTTCTTACAGTACTAATATCCCACTTGAAAATAAAAGACAGAACGAAGCCCATAGCTACATTTGTATCCCCAAAGACAAACTAGTAAAGGCAGTTCTTTAGCATATAGCTGAAGCATTTGTTTAATTTAAAAGGGACTATATCAGCCTCATAGTTACAGGATTTCCCCCCAGTGCTTGTTCTGATAAGCTGTCCCAAATAAGCTTTTAGAAGAAACACTTTGAGCGATATTGCCTGCAAGAGTTAAGACTAACCACTCCCCCAACTCCAAAATAAAAGGAGCTGCTGAATGGTGTTGAATAGGGCTGAAACCTAAGGTGTTATTTATCATGCTCAGGGGATGCTGCTGCCTGTTTTGTGTTATTAAAGCATCTCTCACTGCACCCAGCAGCCCTGACAGTCACAAAGGTGGGGCAGGGGGAGAGGGGCGGTAAATTTGGCTGCAAAAGTTTGTTACCTGCTGTGTCTGCCAACAGCTGTGTTAGCTGGCTGGGAAACTGGGGGTGGCTGGTACCTGGGGAAATATGATTAAGGAAGCATTCTCTCACCTCCCTGGGGTGTGGAGCTGAGTGTGGGATTGGTCCTTTCCTGCTGTTCATGAAAGATCGGGAACATGGGCCTACCTCCAAAATTGTTTAGGTGAGCAAGAAAAACAAATCCCCCTGATGCCACTTTAATACATGGATTAAAATAACAAAGCCAAGTCAGAGACCTGCATTCATGAATCA